GGGGCTGGCTGGGCCTCCCAGAAGCCTCTGGCGGGTCCATTTGCTCTTCAGCACCCGTCTCCCTTTCGCAACGCTGCACAGCTGGGGCTCAGCAACGCTGGGGGGAACCTCTGTGCTTCCTGGCTCATCTGCTTTCTCTTCGTGGCTTTAAATAGCTCGTGTTTCAACTTCCCTGTTCTGTGTAGCAGGGAACACACATTGCAACACAACCTTTTTCTAAAAAAAAAAAATAATAAAATAAAATGTTGAAGCATAAAAACTTGAATAAATCTGGTGGCTGTGTCACTTCTAGAAGTTTGCTGCAGGGTTGCTGCTTGGGTGTTTATAGCTAATCAGTGAGGAGCCCCTTGCAGAGCAGATACAAGTCTATGCTGAGGGGGTGTGTGTGGGAACAGTGGCCTAAGCATTGTTTATCAGAGAGAAGAGCTGCAGTTTTAACAGGAAAGCCCAAAGTCGGGGTAATAACGAGTCACTGCAGTTCTTTCAGCTGCTCCTGCAGCACCACCTGGGCAGATCGGGTGCTGGGGGTCAGCGTCACCCCGTACAGCACAGGGCGCTGCAGATGGGATAACCGGGCTCTTCTTTACCTTCTCCCCAGAGAGAGGCAGCAGAGGTACCCTCGTCCACGGAGGAGAGTGCCCTGGCAGCAGTTTCTGAGGAGGTGTCAGTGTGAGCGAGGGAGGCAGCTGAGGTGAAGAGGAGTGCGATGGGTGTCCCGGGGGCTTTAGCCTCACCCAAGCTCTAGGACTTGACCTCAAGCTGCCCAGCAAGGACGAAAGAATTTCCAGCATTAGAGAGACGGGGAGTGAACCTGCGGAGGGGCTCAATGCCTGCAGGGAACGATGCCAGGAGGGGGGAGCTGCAGCTGAGCAGGACGTGCAGAATGAGCCCCAGAGCTGCGCACGACCTGGGCACCCCCCTCTCTAGCACGTCAGTAAAGCTTAGGGGTGACGCTTCCCTTCCAAAACGGCTTTTCACCCGTCTTTACAAGAGTCTCCTCGCAGCGTGCAGCAGCAGGCGGTAAACTTCTGGTCTCCGGGAAAACTTTGGTGATATGCAAGTACATACCTGCCCCAGCAATAATCTGTGTTTTTAGACCGAGAAGGAACCGGGTCCTACCCTGAGCGGAGGCACCTCGTGCACAAAACCACCCGAGAGAATAAACCTGTTGTTGGGTAACGCGCTCAGCGGCACACGGCGCAAACGCCCAGCGAAGGGTTTAATTACTGTGTACAAAGGCGCTTGGGTCAGGGCTGCGCGCTCCGCTCGGCTCCTCCGAATGTCAGCGGGCAGCAATGCGGCAGAACAGGATGTCGGATTAAGGAGTCTCCGGCGAAACCCCGTGCTGAGGACATCAGAGGACGCCAGCCAAGCCGGGAAGTGAGTGAGCTGGGTGGTACCGAGCAGAGCTGCCCGCAGCCTCCCGGGCACGGGGTGCCGGTGCTGCCGCCCGCCTCTGCCTGCGCCGCGCTGGCTCAGAGCAAAGCTGCACACGGGGACCCGGCCGCTTTGGGTCCGAACATGAAGGTGTTTTAGGCGCTTGGCCGTGCTGTGGCCCCAGCCCGGAGCGGTAGGAAAGCTGCCTTGCATGGGTGCAAGATGAATTTCTCTCGCCCCAGTGCAGCGGGCTGCAGGTGAGGGGCTGGGGGGGTCTCCTGACAGCATGTACCTGCCGAGCACCCGCGCAGCCTTATCTCCGCTGGGGAGGCGAGTTAATGTGTAACGCAGCTCTGTTTGGTTAGCCCAGAAAAGCAAAGAAGTCCTGGGATAGGCACGGCCGGGACAAGGATTTGGGCAGCGTGGAACAGCGGACGTCCTGGTAAAAAAAAAGAAAATAATAATTTAATAATCTCTATCCTTCCTCATCCTTCGCTTTCTGTCCTTTTCCTTCTGAATGGGCTGCGGGTGAGGGGCGAGTGCCTCTGCCCGGGTGGGGCGTGGGGCTGCGGGTACCCGTGGGGTTACGGACCTGCTTTGCTTTGGAAGAGTAAAGTGCAGTGGAGCTGTCACGGGAGGTGGCACCAGTGAAGATGGACGAGATGGTTTGAAGGCGGTGGCGGGAGGAAAGCTGGGGAGACCCGCAGCTGCCGGCAGAGAGGCTGGGAAAACTTGTGCACAGGACAGCAAACAGCTCGGGCGGCTGCTACGTGCACTGGATTTACTTGTTTAACCAGAAGGAACCCTAGATCTGCCGCCATCGTCTGCTTTCACCCTGAGGTAGGATCCGTGCCGCTGCAGAGCAGGAGCAGCTGGGTCGGTACCTGCAAACGGTGTTTTGCTTTGGTTTGTGTTTCGGGCTGGCCAGGATGAAGCCCTTTGCCGGCAGCTGTAAGGCAGAGGGGTAGGGCTGCTCTGCCTTAGACAGCAAAACTTTCTGAAGTTCTTTGAGACTGCTGGAGAGCCGTGATAGAGCGCTTGTAGTACTACTGGGCTTAAAAGAAAGTAGCCTTCATACAAAGCAATTAGCATTAATTGCTACCCAGCACCTCTTTGATGTTTGAGGGCTCAGCCAGCTTGGTAAAGGACAGTTATGGCAGCTGTCACGAAAGCTGCCCGAACTGGCCTTGTCTTTTAGGTAAAAACCAGGTTCTAAAAGCACTTTTAGTGGCAGAAGATACACAGCATTGAAAAACAGCTTTTCAAGTACCATGTCTTTTAATTAAATGCTCAGGCATATTTTTAGTTCATGGCCGAACTGCCATCTTAGTCAGCAAAAGGAAAGAACTGTAAAATCCTTCTGAATCATAAAACCTGGGATTTTTCCACACTGATTTTTACCCCTTTCCCGAGCTGGATGAATGCTTTAGAGCCATAATCGCATCAGAGAACTACTGGGCAGGAAAATGAACGTCTTGTTTCTGCGTAGATCCTCTCCAGCATCCGGGCTGAACTTTGCCTCCCCACGAGCCGGGGCTCAGCGGGTGCCAAAGCCTTGGCAGCTGCTTCATGTTTCTGCAAAGGCTCTTTGAACGAGAGCAAATGATTTCTTCCAATGGGCGGGTGACAGTGGGCATCCTCGTGGAGAAATTAGCTCTGTCAAGACCCCTAATTAGAGCTGGGCCACGCTGTTGCTCTCCTGCCCGGGGGGGCTGCCTTGCACAGCAGACGCTGGCTCCGACCGGCTGCTCCAGCTGCAGGCGTCAAGTTGGAGCAAGACTTTCATTTCCCCAGGAGGGTTTTGTTCTCTCGACTTCGTGCGGCAGGGCGGGAGGCAGCGAGGAGCATTGCAGCAATCCTGACCGAGCAGGCGGCAGTCTCTTGCTGCTTGGAAGTAGATTGATATTTCACGTTGCAAAGATTTGGGTGCACAGTAAGACTGTGTGGCTTGCAGAAGCCTAAAACCCCCCCAAACTCAGACAGTGTCTCTGCTTCCCAACAGCTAAAAGCTCTGGCTATAAAGATGTCCAAATTCAAAGAATCGAGGATATTGCTGCTCCAAACCCACCTCTTACTCAAATGTAATTTAAGCGGTAAATAATGCAAAGCTGAGACTGAAACATTAAACTCCTCCTGCATGGAAGGATTGGATCTGTCAGGGCGTGGGTGTTGAAATCTGATTTTTGCGGCATATTTCAATTACAAAGGCATTCTTTCAGGGTCTAACACTCTGAACAAGCAGCCAGTTCTGCTCACTTATCGCTTGATCTAATTCCCTGATCCTGCTACAAGAAAAAAAAAAAAGCAGCAGTGTGTTCTTGCGTGTCGCGGCCAGGTTACAGCACAAAGAGCTCCTCTGTCTCCTGACGAGCAAATCCTCTTGCGTGGGTCCGTTTGCGTTGGACGAGGCGTTTGTTTTGCCGCTCTCATTAGCCTCTGCAGCCCAGTTCTCCCAAAGAACGGGCAGTGCACGCAAAGAAAGCCCGTAATTGGCGGTGTCAGTAAATTTGGGAAGGTTAACGCTTTACATCCATAAGTAATTATGCCTTTTACAGGCTGCTCAGCCTCTCCCCGCAGGCAGCAGAGCTGTCCTTCACCCCATGAGCATAACTGGCCCCTCCGCCACCCAGGACCCTGCTCTGGGAAGGTCTCGCTGTTGGGAACCCCGACAGCAGGTTGTTTGTCAGGCAGCCACCACCACCTTCAGGTCCCATCAGTGTCGGTGGTAGGGGCTGCATCCAGAAGAGCAGCAGGGGTGCACTGCCACGAGCAGAGGGGGATGTCGGGGTGCTGCTTGCAACACCCCTGGGGCGGCTGGAGCCATGGCACATCGGTGCAGCCTGGGCACAGCCCCCAGCACTGCCCTGCTCTGCGCAAACTATGCCAGGCATGTGCCCAAACACACCCAGGTGTGCCCCAAAGGTACAGGGACACCTCCCCGCAGTCACGACACCTCCGTGGCCCCCGAGGAAGGGTGGCAGAGGAAGCTCTTTGCCAGGAGCAAGCTCCCAGCAGAGCAACGCTGTGACTAAACGGCAGCATTTCAGGTCAGCGTGTTCGGAAATCGGAGAGCACTTCAGCCGCGGGGTGCGGCGGAGGGAAGAGCTCCGACGAGGGAGAGCTGGGCTGGGGCTTGCATTGGGAGGACATCGCTGCTGCCGAGCTCCGAGGCTGAGCTGGGCTCCCAGATTCTTCCTTACCACCTTACCCACACCTCCGAGATGATTAGATAGCCACCAACAGGGGACGGCCGTGGATGGGCGGTCCAGAGCTTACCCTGTTTCCAATTCTCATGGGGAAAACTTCAGTTCCAAGGATGCTTTAAGAAAGGCCAGCTGCCGCTTCTCCTGGAGAGCATCCACCCAGCAGCTTCACAGCCCACCTGCCCTCCCTCCAGCTGAGCCAGCGTGCTTCACTGCCCCCACGGGGCTGGTCTTGCAGCTTAATGCCTCTCCTTTCTTCTGCTTCAGCCAGGACGTTGTCCCCCGTGCCGGACGCTGCGGCAGCCTGGGATATGCCTAGGAAGGAGCTGGGGATGGCTGGTTGCAACTCTGGCAGCTGTGACAGCATGGTCAGCACGGCCTCCAACCACTCACAACGGGTAAGTAACCCTGTTGCGCCCAGCCCGGGCACGGCAGGGGCTCAACTCGCTCCTCTCAGCATCTGAGGAAGAATTTTGGTCAGATCTCTGCTCAAAACCGCTCTCCATTGGTGCTTTGGAAGCACCCGGAGGCCCTGAGACAGCACCGTGCTCAGCCCAGCACAAGGATCAAATTAATTCCTGCCCCAATGCACTCCCAGACTTCCAGACCTGCCATGTGTGTGGCAGCAATCAGGAGCCTTTGCTCCTGCAAGGTCTCCTCTGGGAAACGATACAGAAAGCCCAGCGGCTCCTGCATTGCCTGAAGATGCAGAGGCAGCTAGTGCAGGCACTGGGCAGGAGGAGCCTGGCGAGCTCCCCAGTGAGGGATTAGACCAGTTGGATAACTGGGTCAGACTGGCTCCAACGAGGGTGACTTCACCTGGAAAAGACAGCAAGCTGTGCTCCTCCCGGCTGACAAGAGATTAATTTCCTAGTTAAGGCAGAGGTGAGTTTGGACCATGGGTGTAGATGTGTAATTTTTCACTATCTGTCCATTAAAGCTTGTTTGTCTCCAAACACCGATTCCAAGATTGATGGACTAATTACATCCTGTCTGACTTGGAGCATAATTGATATGTGTAAGTGCAGTGCTCAGTCCTGAACAGGTTTTCCATTTGATGTATTGCAAACCAGAACCAAACCCTCTGAAATTTATTAGGGATGGAAGAACTGGTTGCAATATTGCATGATAAAAGATTTGGTTAGGTGTCTCCCTGCAAAACAACTCCACCTGGGACAGTTTCTCCTCCATGCTTGTTGACCTGATGCACACTCCATCCTTTCCTGCACTTCAGTTTTTTCATAGTATATTGCATATGTATTTCATAATATACCACCTTGTAACTCAGCAGTTCCACAGCAATCGTATCCCATGATACTTGAAATACAACAATTAAAACAGGATCGTGCCAGGGTATGAATGAGCGAACAAGAAGCGAGACCACCCCCCACAGATAAGCCTTCAGTATTTATGATGTTTAGACAAGCTTCTAAGATTCAACAGTGCTGATCAGTGCAGGCGTCTGCACCTATAGACCACCCATGTTACCCATCTGCTCATATTTCAAAGTCAACTAAAGAACTAAAAGGCAGAAGCCAAGTTTCCAAGTTAAGAATAACCCATCTTCTGATGCTCATAGTGAGGTCATACAAAAATAGCCTTAAGTATAGGTACACACATTATTTTTTCTAGAAGTTGTCTAGTTTTCTGTAGCTGTGAGTACTAAGTTTTGAACAGCTACTGGCCAAGTCTCCTGGCCAGGAGCTGTGACAGGTCTCCTCTTAACTGCCTTAATACACCTTTGTCTCCTGCCTGCACTGCTTTTTCTCTTTTTTCAGAGTGATAACAG